TCAAACACCGCACCTTGAAGAAATAGTGTGGAAAAAAATCAAAAGGAAGATTGACATAAAAAATGTTTAGCAACATTTTAAACGACCAAATGAGCCTCTGATTGGACCATCTCTACTGTGACGCCAGTTACAATAGAAACTAAAATGTCCTCAGTCTGAAAAAGCAGAACGATGAAATCCACAATATTTTACATGGCGAACACAACATAAGTAAACACTTGATTATAAAAAGGAATCGTGAAAAAATAAAAAATATTTTAATTAATTAAATGACCCCTGAAAAAATGTATACGACGTGATGAGGACGGGTCCTCTTTTCTCTAAACATTAAACTTGAGAAGAAAAAAAAATCTGGTCTGTTTTCACATTTACTTGGTTGACAATATGAAAGTATCACTTTGCATTTACTTTGTGTAAAAAAATAGAATCTCTGAATCAAAAATGGACATCTGAAAATACCTATCAAAACTTCCACAAAGCTTCATTCCGTCAAATTCATCACGTCCGTTACATAAAATAAACAGGCCGCTATAGGAAACTTGTCTAATGTTATAAAACAGTTTATGTTTTCCAGAAACGTCTAATGGACAGAGGAAGGTGTTTGAAACACGCAAAACATAAAATATCTTCTGATTATTAAAATTCCAATTTTTTGGCCTTTTTTTTTTTTTTTTTTTTTTGTCCACACTTTTGTGCCCTTTAGTGTGAACAAGCCCACATCCATAATCATTTATATACTGAACCTATATCCATAATCATTTATATACTGAACCTATATCCATAATCATTTATATACTGAACCTATATCCATAATCTTTTATATACTGAAACCCTATATCCATAATCATAGATATTACTGAACCCATATCCATAATCAATTTATATACTGAACCCATAACCATAATCATTATATAATGAACCTATATCCATACTCATTTAGATACTGAACCCATATCCATAATCAGATCCTCTGCAGATGTTTCCTATAATGTTCAAATCACTGTTAATAGCACTTCCGGGTTTACAGCGATCGCTTTTTTTCATGCATTAAACATTATATTAGTCATGAAACGTTAACAAATAGACTTCGAAAACCCCTGCGTGCAGTGTATTATAATGTAGATTGTAAAATGTGTTCTCAGATTAACGTTTAAATATTATACGGAAACGTAGCATAACCAATCAGAAAGGAAGGGAGGGAGCTTGGGTCGTATTTTTTCAATCCTGTACCTCGCTCTCTTTTTTTTCTGACAAACTCAGACAATCACTTTAAAGATAAAGCCTTGGTCCATGAGGGGAATGACCAAGTCCCATAAATTGTTGAATGTGGAGTGTCCTTGAACGACCCCCACTGTTCATAGACCCTCCGGCCATTCACTCCAACTGTAATATGACAAAAGCTGTAAAGGACCGACACAGATCTCCCAGACTCCTGCGGATGGGAGAGGCTCAGAGAAACAAAGCAGAGCAGATCAAGCCAAAATGGGGTGGGGGAAAAAAGGGGGATAAATTTAAAATTTTTATAATAAATAAAAAATAATATATGGGGGGTATAAAAGGATATATATCATTCTCAGGCCAGAGATCATGAGAATAATCTAAGGGGGGTGCGAAAGCCTTGCCCCCTCTGGCCTCTCACCACTCAAAGGCGGCTGTTGGATGCGCATGATAGACCGCAGTTCAGGGCGTAATGCCACCGCGGGCAAGCCTGCGCGGCGCGCTGTATCCCAGGAGCTCGCTTCACAGAGCTGCATTAGAGAGCTCCATCAGAGAGCTCCATCAAGTCCTGGCTCTGCCCCTGCTCGCCATGTTCACACAGCAGAGGCAACCCTGTCCTTGTGCCAGCACCAGTCTGAGGTTTCACCAGCAGCAGAGAGCTTCTCAACAGGATCCAACACCGGTCACTGAAAATAAGGGCCTTAAATGTCAATGTGGTTTTACTGCAAATGGCAAATACAATGAATCCCGATCTGATCTTGAAAAGTAAAGTTGTCCGGTAATCAGAAAAAAATGGATAAGATAGTTTATTGTTACTCTTTGGATAAATGCAGGTGCCCTCAGCAGAAACACACCCCATCGTTACAAAAAAACATATTCTAACAAGTAGCTAAAAGTATAATATAATGCAACAGCACTTAAGGTCACAGCAGCAGAGTGGTGTAGCCGCTGGGGAGGAGCAGCTTCCTCTCCCTCTGATAGACCATCGCTTGGTTTAGATGTGAGGCCCGTTAATAAAGAGAGGTTATGATCCAACATTTTATGTTGATTATGGCCTGATTTTCACATAATAATAACAAAAAATGCATCACTTTTACATAGCTCCCTTTCAGACACTCAAAGTTGCTTCACATGACATTCGGCAGGTGTCCACCAGCAGTATTCTTTCACTCCAAACGCGTGGGGTGGTGTAAACTACTACTGTACCACTGCTGCCCTGGGCCGCATCTGACGGGAGGCAAGGCAAACAGTCTGTGCCATCAGCCCCCCCACACCACCAACCATTCACACACTCTAGACTCCATTCTAATTTGGGTGAAGTTGTTTGCCTAAGGAACATAACAGCAGTTTGGCACTTTACAGCCGCCCACGGTGGCACCTGGGTTCCCAGAGGTCTCCCATCACAGTAACTAACCAGGCCCTGCCCTGCTTAGCTTCAAAAGTCCAGCAGCAAGTTGCAGTAAGTAGTAGTGTAAGCAGCATAGCAGCAGTAACAGTAGTGTAATAGTAGCAGTAGTAGCAGCAGCAGCAGTAGTAGTAGTAGTGAAGCAGCCAGCAGCAGCAGCAGTCGCAGTAGCAGTAGAAGTAGTAGTAGCAGCAGCTAGCAGCAGCAGCAGCAGTCAGCAGGGGTAGTAGAACATGTGGATATCTCGCAAGGTCCATGTGAGTGCAGAGTGGAACATACATTGGTATTTCTGTCACGTGTCTGTACCAACAGACTGTAAACACCAGGTCAGCTGATGGAGCGCGTAAACGCACACACACACACATATGGACTTGCTCACAGCACATCCACACACCACTCCTACACACACACATACATATAGACTTGCTCTCACACATCCACACAGACATGCCTTGTAGATTAAGCCCCTTCATAATTAGTTTGGAACAGTCACTAAGTATTCGATATTGTAAGTCATCATTATTTATATAGCGCCTTTCCCAGACCCGAGTCACTAATCCGCTTTACAATTTGTTGTGGGTGTTTTGTCCTCTCATCCACACAGAGATGGGAGCAGGTCGTCTACAGGAGGCACATGCCAGACCTTCTGTACATGTTTTAGTAGTAGGGACAACGTACACCGACACGGGAGAACATGCAAACTCCCACTATAGAGAGAGATCGACTGAAGACTCACACATTCTGCAGGACGTCATCTGGTTTGTCTATTCTGTGCAATAAAGAACATGCTCCGTTTTATGAAAGTGTACAAAGTCTGGTTTTGGCCTCTTTGTGGAGTCCTCAGGCTCTGGTGGTACTTCAGACTCAGGACCACCAGAGGTCCACAAATAGAGTAATAATTGTGTCAAAAGGGTCAATAGCAGTTCTTTCACCTTGTATGGTCTTCACACGTCATCTCATTACTTTTGGTACTTCTACCTTTTATATCAGGGCAATTTACAGAGCACCAGCCCTCCACGGATCCCTCCCTGCAGGTGGAGAGTCCACAGTACACATCAAAGCCTGATCTTTCAGGGCTTCAGGTTAAAGTGGGGTTAAGTGTCTCGCCCATGGACACAACAATAGTCAAGTGGGAGGCGGTGGAGAAGGTTTCATGTGCTCGAGCCTACACCTTCACCTCAAAGGCCAATGCACTACCAACTGAGCCACTGTCGCCATTATACTTTACCATCACATCAGTCAAACTTACACAAATCTACGTCTTTGCGACATGCTTTCCATATACAATTGACGTATAAAATACTACTATAACTTTGAAAAAATTTTAAACTGATTATTCATCTATATTTTATTCAGTATCTCAAACTGTTTTTGTGGTTTGCACTGTCATGTGCAATTTATAACATTTCACCAAGTCCATATAACTTTTATAGAATATTTGTATTCTTGTATTCCATTTCCCAATGTCACCACACGAGGATGTATACGGACGTGTTTTGCACGTGTTGTCCCCCTGAGTGTTAGCGTGGATAGGCGAAAACAACGGCAGATCGATTCATGAAGTAAAATGTGTGATCAAAAACTTCTGCAGGTGAACTGATGAGGAAAGCAAGTTTCTGTGAGTGGGTGCTCAGGCCTCACAGACCCCTGATGGACAGTGACTCAATGAGCACTCTGTCCCACAAACACATGCAAGTGGTTTTTGCTACTTTCACACTTCATAAGGGAAGGAATATTTATTTACAAACAACCATTCGTCTTTCTGAGTGGAGTTTGCATGTTCTCCCCGTGGTCCGCGTAGTTTACTCCGGGTGCTACCGGTTCCCCTACCAACTAAAATATGTACAATAGTCTGCAGCGGCCTCCTGTTTCGACGACCCCGCCTCATCTCTATGTGGAGTGAGAGGACAAGTGCCCAAAAAAAACATCAGTAAACCCTTGTGACTCTGGTTCTGTGAAAGGCTGTATATCAATTTAGATTACTTACTTACATTTAGCAACAGTCACTCAGTTGTAAGCATTGGCCCTTTGGCTGAAGATGTAGGCTCGGAGCCCACCATGAAACCTTCTCCACCGACTCCCACTTGACTATGTTGTGTCCATGCGAGACACTTAACCCCAACTTTACCTGAATCACCCCTGAAAGATCAAGCTTTGATGGTACTGTGGACTCTCCACCTGCAGAGGATCCGTGAGGGCTGTGCTGGTATGTATGCAAGTTGGGTACACGTACGTATAAGTTAAAGTCCGGAAATGCCTGATTAAAAAAGGTAGAAGTCACCACAAGTAATGTGATGACGTGTGAAGACCATACAATGAAAGAACTGCTATTGAACCCTTTTACACAATTATTACTCTTTTGTGGACTCTGGTGGTCCTAGAGGTCTGAGACCATCCAGAGTGCCTGAGACCACAAGAGGCCTAAACCAACCTTTGTACCTTTCATAAAACGGAGCATGTTCTTTTGACCTGTTCACAATCCAGTTTTGAATGTGGCTAAAGAAGGAAGTTGTACAAGTTTCTTCTCACTCCTATTTGGACATGTAATTGTTCATTATTTCTATATGAGCATTGGCATCATGGTTGTACAGGTTCCATCTTACCTCAGTATTCAGACAAATATGTGAATTAAACATTTATTTGGCAACACACGCTATTGAAATCAGGGTCTATTGAGTTACTGTTATACATGTAACTCAATAATGTATTGTGTTTTGAACAAGAAAACACCTTTTTTAAACAACAAATGGCTTCTCAAAACCACTAAAACTAGTGGGAAAAACAGAGTTATCATTCATAATCTCTCAAACATGTCCAAAATGTGATAATTACTTTCTGCCAGGATTTGTAAACAGTATATAATGTCTTGGTGAATGAGTGCTTTATTAAATCTCACCTGTTTTTCATGAATGTCTTTTTCTAGAAGTTTCATCGCCAGTTCCATTTCCTGTTTCATTGACACCTGAGCAACCAACTCATTTTCCACGTCCTTAGGGATAAAAAAAACTTTTCAATAACATTCTAAATGAGTTTTTCATTTCAAGTTTATTTTGGCCTGACCTGTCTGAGCTGGCACTCCTCCTTCAGCTGTCTCTGGGCTTCACTGTACATTTCATCCAAACCCTGACGAGACTGTATGTACGTGTCCCTCTCTACTGAGACGTCACCCTGCGTTACCTGCAAAAGAACATCAAAGATCAAACCTCTGTGGCAGTGTTCTGACGGTGTTGGTTTTCATCGTCTCACCTCTAAGTGCTGCTGTGCCTTCATTAATATTAGACCGTTTTCACTTCTTAACTGCTGGTTCTCCTCTTGTAGTTTGATAATATTGTTTTTTGCAATGGCTAACTACAAAGGACAAATTACAATAAACAATTATATTTTTCTATAGTGAATAAAACAAAGATTTTAAGAAATCAAATTACATTTTGAAGCTTAATAAAATGGATACAGATTGACCCAGAGTTTAGAAGCCGATGGTTTGGTATTAACCAGACAGCTTCTTCAGAGCTCAATTTGGCACTAGATGCAAAACATTGGCGTCTAAACAAAGTAATTCCATCTGTAGCTTGTTTTGATTGTGTTATATACAATGTTATTCTGAACATATTCATGAATAGAATATAATACATGTTATTTACCTCTTCAATGAGTTTAGAGTTAGATTTCTCTAAAGAGTCAACTCTGCCCTGCAGACTGTGTACAGTTGTGCTGATGAAGACATAAACAAAACACATTCATCGAACACTGAACAGAATATGATTGAAATCAGAAGAAAACAGCAGAGTTGGTGGTGGCTTACTTGAGCTGTCGGTTCAGCTCTTCAATGTAGTTTTTTTGGTCCAGGATGGTTGCTATCTGACTATTGCTGTTGTCAAGGAAACAGAGACGAGAGTTACAGTTTTAGCCCAGACACAGATGTATCTGCGAGCTGTGCATGTGCGTGTGTATGTGCATGTGTACAGTGCCTCTCAAAAGCATTAAAGCAGCTTCAACATTTTCACGTTTTCACGTTTTACAACCATAAACATAAAGATTTTTTTTTTTTACCAAAAGTTCACACAAAGGTAACAGATACCTGAAGTGAAAGTAAAATGATACTTGATTCTATTATTCTAAAAATAGAAAAGTTAATAGTAAGGCCCGTTAATCATAAAGCTTAGAAGCTTAAATTGCCTTTAAACCGTTCCCAATGACTGCCCAATGTTCACACCTTGCCCTAATAAAAGAGAGGACTCCTGTGTGTAATCTACTCTCTGTATAAATACAGCTGTTTTGTGAGGGCCTCCGAGCTATGGCCAGAGTTTATTGGTCACTTAACAACAACAGACCAAGGAGCATGTCAGAGAGGCCAGGGGAAACGTTGTGGAGAGAACTTAGAACTTATCAAGTCCACATCAACTCACAGATTGAAAAAGGAGAGCACTGGTCAGAAAGGCAACCAAGTGCCCCAAAATGACTCTGGAAGAGCTAAAAAGTACTGCTGCTGAGCACCTTGGGACAACTATCAGTATATCATTAAAAGAAGGCTATAAGGAATCCTTTTTTTGCCAGAAGTCATATGGGACACAGCCACTATGAAGAAGGTGCTTTGGTGAGGAAAGAAATGTAACTTTTTGGCCCAAAAGCAAACATTATGTATGCGCAAATCTAACACTGATCATTGTTCTGAGTGCACCATCCCCAGTGTCAAAAATGGTGGGGGAAGCATCATGCTATGTTTCTGCTTTTCTTCAGCGGGAACTGGGAAAATTGGAAAGAATAGCTGGGAAAAAGGATAGACCCAAATACAGGGATATTTTGGAGGAAAACCTGCTGGACTCAGCAAGAGAATTGAGGGTGAAGATTCACCTTTGAGTGAGACAATGACCCTAAACACAAAGCTAAATCTTCGATGAAATGGTTTAAAACAAAACATTATCATGTGCTAGAAAGACCCAGTCAAAGTTCAGACCTAAATCCAATAGAAAATCTGCATTTGCAAATCTTGTAGATTCATACCCCAGATGCTGATTTGTTGTTCCTGATTACTTGTGCCTGCCCTTACTTGTGTGTGAACTTTCAGATAAAAAAAAAAAATATCTTCATGGTTATGGATTATGTGCAAAATGTTCAAGCTGCATAAATATTTTTTAAGGGGCCCTATATATGTGTACATGTACGTGTCCATGCATACCGTTCTTCGCTCCTGTAGTCATCCATATCACTCTTCAGGTACATGGAGAAGTCTATTACTCCAACCTACAGCACAATTTAAAAGTCACAAACATGACTCAAAACAAATGTAATGTAAAATGTAATAAATGTACGTACCAGTGTATCCAAGTCCTCTCCTTTCACACAAAGATTGGCATCAATAACATTCAGGCCCACCAGCAGGCCAACAATGACAGCTCCCTCCTCCTCCAGCATCAAGGCTGAAATCTCATAGAAATCACTGCAAACCAAAGGCATCATCAGCTCAAACCTTTTAACCAGTCTTTTTACACAATATTTCTTTAGTGTTTTTCTGAACCTGAGCAGATCCTTCCTAGTGATGAGTAAACGCAGATAATCGGCCAGCCGCTTCTGCATCAAGGCCAGGCGCAGCCAGGCTCGGGCTCTTCCCAGTGGAGTCCTGTGCAGCAAAAACATAATCAAGTTACAACCACTGAGTAATTGCACAAAGTTAACAGAACAGTGGTTGTACAACGAAACATCCTTTACTGCTTTTACACTATTTTGGTTTAGGCTACATGTCAAGTTTGTTTGAACACATTAAAGGATTTAAGGAGGAGTATAAACCCTCTTGCTACATGGAAGCTGCTGTTCTGAGTCAGCAGCCCTCAAAGGAAACGCTGTTTCCATCGTCAACCTAACAAGAACCGTTCCTCATTTGGCAGAAACTGCACCTGACTCATTGAAATAGTAAGAATTCCAGTGAACATGATTTTGCTTTTTCATAAATCGTTTATGTATTTAGTAATAGTTACCATTAATACAATAATAATTGAGTTTCCAGAAATTACCCAAATATAATCGTGGCTACATAGTGCAGTTGTAATCGTATTGGTGAAGGTTACTAAGCCGGTGAGGTGAAGTGAAAGTAAGTCACACTCTCGAGTTACCCGGCCACACGTGAACAGTAAACACAGATGTAATCAGAGTCTTACTTGAGTCCCGGCAGGTCTCGCACTGAGGCCGAGATCTCTCCGGCTTCAGGACACAGTTTTTCTACCAGCTCAAGAGGACCCCACAGAGACTTGTTAAAGCCCAGAAAGGACTTCTTCACTGTAAATGTATAAAACACGAAGGTTTGAGCAGAAGCATGTTTTTAATGTAAATAAACTATGAAGATGGTTACCTTTAAGGCCATGTTTGAGACAGTGCTCCATGACGACAAAGAACTGCTGCAGAGGGGGATAGTCAGAGTCCAGGGTCCGCCCGAAGCTCAGAGCCGACTCGATCAGCCCCTTGATGCTCAGCTTGGCCATGTTCAACAGGTTCGCTCGCTCCATGGCCATCGGGTCACGAAACGCTGCGGAAGAAATGGTTTCAGGAGTTTTAAACACAAGATTCACCCCACAAGTGTTTGTTATTACCACTTACAAACATAATGTAGCTCCAGCATTCATGCCTCTGGATGCTTTGCTTTGTAATAGCACTGATTGTACGATTTTTTTCTATTCACTTGATAATAATCAACCAGCTTTAGTTAATGTGTATGAGAATATATTTCTGTGTTCAAGAACATTTAAAAACACTCAGACAAAGGCACATTGTCATTGTAACTCTCCATGAAAGCCACATGTGATCAGCAGGACTGAAATTAACCATACCAAAAGGGCCATTGAAAATCATTTGGTGATGCCAAGTTATATCAGTTTATGGTGCATACCACAGCCCATTGCTATTATAACTGTATACCTTGCATAGTCCACTCCTCTGGCAGAGACGTCCTGTGATCCGACACTTTGGGCAGGACATGAATACTCCCTGAAATGGTCTCTGAGGCTTTCCTGGCCAAAGCGAAGATAGGAGCCTGCCATCGCCCATCTCCCCCAGTGACTCCTCCAGCTTTAACACTGGCACCACCACTACTATTATTATTACTGCTCGTGGTGGTACTGGCCTTGTCCACAACGACAGCAGCAGCGCCAGATTTCTCCTCTTGCAGCCTCAAAATCCCAAACACCTGAGACTTCTCCTTGGTGCTGTCCGCCGCTTCAGCCAGAGTCAAATCGTGCTCTGCTGACGATGCCATGTTGTTGTGGGTACCTCTGGCCTCAGGGTCAGGGTGTTGCTGTCTGCATAAGGCGAGCTGCAGCGACCCGAGTGCGGTGTGGAAAGAAAACAATCAGCGGCAGACCCACATAGCAGCGAAATGAGACAAGATCCCCGGTCAAAAACACTGACAGGTTTGCACCGTAGCGAGAATGAAGGCGCGAACAGAGACGAAGGCTGCTACATTGTGTCCTCCGCTGTTAGAAGTGGAAAACCAGTACATTTCCTGCACATGGCGTTGGGTTTGTTTACAGCGGTCCAAAGTGAGCGTCCTGGACTGCACGGTACCACTGCTGCTCCCAGCAGAGAGAGGGGCGGTGTCAAAGCTCACGAGAGGCACAAAAGACAAACAGCACTACGTCATGACTCCAGAGTGGAGGAGAGCGCCCTCTGGTGGCTGCAGCGGGGATGTCGCACGTGGGAGCCAAATCACGGGATCCTTTATCCGTCCCATAGACTGTATATATGCGTCCCACAGTGGGGAAATTTCAGTGTTGCATCATAAGTTAAAGACCAGTAGGAATGAGCAGCCCACAACACAAAATAAGTGAATATTGAATATAGCACAACTCTATACACTAAAAATAAAATATAATGTCTACCTAAAGAAGCAACTATCATGGACGTCGGAACTATTTTCTGAGAGGGGGGGCGGGTTTTTGTTGGGAGAGTCGAGGGAGAGACTCATACTTGGATTACACTGGATAATAACATACCATCTTAATTGTTAAGAAAAACAAAATAAACAATATATATCAAGCAAGTCACTTATCAAACTGAACTTTTTTTTTTTTCAATACGCATTCATGCGTCAGTCTCTCCGGTGGCTTCATTGTGTTGTGTAGCCCAGTGACGTGCGGTCAGATGAGGCAGGCAAGGCCCTCACCTAAGATCATAGAAAGAAAAGTAATAAAATGGATACAATAATGTTTGGTCACTTTATCAAGTGATTTGTGCTGTGCCTTATTTCATTTATTTATACCTTGAAATCGCAGATTTGACAGAGCGGTGCTGTGAGGCAAGCCTCTCTTGGGAGACGTAAAAAGCAACAGCTCACAGGGAGAGTCCTGTGAGGTGCTATCAAACTGTTTTCCCTGTTTATCACAGTTTAAAAAGTTCAAAAATATTTAATTTACAATCAACATGTTTACATTTAAGAGGATGGCTCATAAATTGTGTTTTTGAAGCAAATATGGGTCTTAATCGCGCTCAACCACAGCTTGTAAGTGAGGAAAGCCTCAAGGGGGCGCTTGTGAGCCCAAACTTTGGCTGCATCCAATTCCATCAGAAAGCTCCTTTCTTGTTCTTCTTCTGCTAAGGGCAGCTACAGGTTTGGCTAACATACCTATAATACATTTTAAGATAATTTAAAATGCACTTAGAGTAATGTTTTGCTTCCAATGATGATATGAATCATAAGAAAAGGAGGTGAAGGGTAAGGTTGAATTTAGAAATTGGATTTACCCGGGAGTCGGCTGCAGCAAAACTTGGAGTTTACGGAGGAGACACCCGTTTTTTTTACTTTTTAAAACTCATTGAACTTATTTCCAAATGGAGGATTACATGTCTGTGCCCAAACTATTATCTGGACTTAAACATGAAACTGGTCCTAACTGAAGTGGTCTGTGCTGTTCATTAATACCTAAGGTAAGGCCCATAACACACTTTGTACTATTTACAAACGTTTGCGTTTTGTATGAGAAAACAATGCAGACATTAAATCATATTCTGCTGTAGCCAAACAAATTGTGTATAAGCCGCTCCTGTTCCTGTAGGTCCTGTTGGTTTATATGATGTATAATCATATGAACACATGATTGATCCCCCACCGCACGTCACTGGTGTAGCCAGGTCTCTAATCTGCGCAAGGCTGAGAAAGAGCGCTCAGAGGCTGCGACAGATATTAGCCAGACAGAGCTTCATAAGCTTCTCCGACAGCATGGAGCGGGTTTTGGGCTGCAAGGAACGCAGGATAGTGATAACTTCTCGCTCCCGGCACACGCGGAGGGGGTGCGGCCGCACCCCCCGCCACCCCTAGTTCCGACGTCTATGGCAACTATGACATACTGCATCCTTTAGTGCAGTGTCTACCAAAGTGGGGTCCACGGCCGGCCCCCTGGTGGGCCGCGAGGGTATTGCAGGGGGACCGCGAGAGGTCATCCAAATATTATTTTTTTAAACATATAATGATTTTATGTTAAATTAATAATATTTTGTTCGTAATATTAAAATATTTGTGTTCATTATTTGACTTGAATAATCAAATTGTAATCATTTTCGTATTACAAAATGGGGTGCGTCATTTACATGTTTGTAGCAGAGGCTATTTCCCCCAAATAAAATAACGAGAAGAGCCTATTTTTAATGTTGTCTTCTTGGTTATTATTTCGGGGGCCGTCAGATTAGCGGTGTTAGCATCATGTGATACTGTCGGTGTTAGCATCATGTGATACTACTGTACATGTTCGCATCATGTGGTACTACTGTACATGTTAGCATCATGCATAACTAAAATGCATTATTCCCGTTTAAATTTCATTTTGTGAGGACATTAAAAAAGTTTGTCCATACTTTATAGTAACTATGGTCCTTCTGGATTATCAACTGGTTCATTTCAAAAAGTTGCATATATATGTGACAGCTAACTTTTTTTTCCTGGAAACTATGACAGCTTCCAAAAGTCAGACTTATTGTTTTAGTTTGGAGCTAATTTACTTTTAATTCCTCACAACGTTCCACATCTACTTTGTCAGTACGTATCAACTATGGACTAATTCTTTTATCTTAAATATGACTAGAAGTGGAGACAGTTTTCAAAAATATGCATGATGTTGGGCAGCAGAGGGGACTGACAGGTTTGTGAATCTATCACTAACAAATAATGACCCAGGGAAACATTCGGACATGTTTGTACACTTGCTTCTTTCCTATTGACATGTATTGGCACGTTCTCTCCAACTGAAATATAACTCTGGAACATGAATATGAACCTATTGTGTAGGTTTTTGGGTGGAGGATATGCAGCTGTCTTTTGAAAACGCATTTGCCTGGTCAGAAATGTTCTACAGTAAACACATTCATCAATCTAATTTATTCAATTTCAAAGTTTTATTAACAATAATAATAACAGAAACTATGTAAGTTTCTTTTCTCAACTTTCCAAGCGAAACTTTCACATTTTTCTCTAGAAAGTAAGGGACTTCTTGTAATTAATGAGTGGACAGTTATTATCATTACCATAGAAGTTTTTTCGGTAAAACAGGCTACTTTTTCAGAGGATTTTACTTATTGGGAGTATATTTCCTGTTGTGTAACTGAGTTGAATTTTCATTTCAGTACAAAGTGCCAAACGTAAATACATATTAATAGTTGTCAGCCATGGTTGTGACAGTGCAGTGTCATCTCCGGATGTATATGTCCGGCTTGGTCAGGAATATTTTACTTATTCTACTTGTATAGCCCTAAATCACAACAGCAGTCGCCTCGGAGGACTTTACAAATTTGTCGATTACACCAACAACATTTAAAAGAGTGGGAGCGGATCATATAGGCAAAAAGGCATAAGCGCTACACCCTCAGCCGCTGTGGTTTTGTAATATCTTCAAAACTTGAGCAAATGAGGGGTAAATCTATTGGCACACACACCTTGACTGTAGGCTAACCTCTCCATGCTCTCGCTGTGGGTGATGCCCCAGCGGTGCAGACTCTGGGGGGAGTACATGATGAATTTCTTCACTCGTCCTCGTTCTGTTGTTCAAATATCCAAGTGTGTAAGTCTGAAAACACAATAAAACAAAAAGGTTGTCATTTTTGTTCACTTAACAAAAGGATGAAGTGTTCAAAAAGAGTGTCAAAGCCATCTGGTTTAGTTAAGGGAAATGTCAAAGCTGAGAATGTATTTGTGACATCACCTCCTAGACAATATTGTGATAGCAATTACAGATGTTCTGAGATGTTTACGGGTGGAAAAGTCCTGATTTTGGTTTGTTTTATGGATGGACAACTTTAACTAAAATAGAATCTGTGTACAGCCATATGTGCAACACTGTTTAATAATGTGACCACTAAAAACTCACTTTTTATGTCCATTATTGCACAGTAGTTTGTATCATTTTATTTCAATGGATGGGACAATTCTTGAACTGCAACATCATTGTTGTGGCATAAATGTCTCTCTTGTCATCTAGTCTCTAGGAAACACTCAGTTAGTATTGGAGGTTCTGCAAAACAGTTCAAAGTGAGTCTTGCCGGAAGCCTCCGTTTGCATTTGTATTCTCTATGAATGTGATTGTAGTGTCGCCTCTCATCTGCTCATATGATTTCAAATATCAGCTGAAAGTTATGGTTTGTTATTACAGGGGTTATAGTCTATAGTCTATGGCCTCAAATACCCACAGCCTGACCACAGTCATATGACTGACATGGAGCCCTATGGTTCATGACAGCAGCCTATAAGCTGTCTTTGTTGCTGATTTCTAAGTGGCACAATTTCACTAGTATTGCATAAAAATCCTAAGAGGTTAAATTACATATATTTAGTAGGCACAGATCTAAAATGGGTATTGTTGCAAAGATGTATGGATCTGGTGAAAAAAAATCTAAAATGTTGACAAATGTATCTAGTTCTTCCAAACTAATCTCAGCCTTCAGTCTTTTCTGAACCACGCCTAACAATCCTACAGTGCAGCTCTTATTCACGAAACCATATGATGACTGGAGAAAGCGACAGAGCACATGACAGACGTTACCAATAGCCAATCACAGCTCAGCAGCCATCCCATGACTACCAATAATCAAGCTGATGCTGTTAAACGAGGAAAACCCTGCCTCAAAACAGTCCTATATAATAAATTAACGCAACGAATTTAATGCAATTTTTGAAAACAAATGTTGCATAGGGATATCTTACCTCAGAGAGTAATGTCAGTCCATGCTTTGTAGACTGATTCTAGAGCTCAGTACGTCTTTGCAGCAAAACAT